CAATAAGGCTTCCGGTATTCATACAACGGTTACCTATAACTGAAATGTCGCCAAGCGATGTTTTGTAAATGTAGCCCCAAGTTCCTGAAAAGATAAGTGTTAATTACTGACTTGTTGATCCGACTGAAAATATCGAAGGTATTCGTACTGATCAATTAAGAGCAGCGCGATTATTCAGAAATTAAACAATTCAATTCAAATAAATTTTTCAGTGGGCAGGTAACCATCAATAGATCGCTCTAATATAATGACACAAACTCACCCGTAAACAAAGAGCAGATATGTAAACACATCACTTACTCCACCTCTAACCATAAAGTTGTTACGGTTTTTTATGAGATTGTTTGAATTTCCTGTATTGATAACATAAGCGTGAAAAATTCAAAATTGTTGTAGTTATTAAATTTTTAAAAATATATAATAATATGAAGAATAAATTGTAGTAAGTTATACCAAAAAGTCCCCATCCTTTGCAACAGAAGTACCAAAATGTTCCATGGACAAATATAGTTCCTGAATGAACTACCAGTTGAAATTTGGTTAAAAAAGTCATTCTTGATGTTGAGACAGGATTGATAAATCCATTGTAATTACGAATTAGAGAGAAATGTCGAGTCCAGCCACTAGATTTCACTGACCAATCCAACCAAGTTGCATATAAATTTATAACAACAATTGTAGTCAAAAAAGCTCTGTGAAAAATATAAAATATTAATTTGTTTGATATGTTTAGCATGTAATAAGAAACTTATTTGAAAAGAAATCATTTCAACTTACAATGATATTTTTTGATATCCCTTAGCATTCATAATATTTTCAACCAACGTAGTCTTAATTTTACATTGATCAGTTTTTACATACTGCCAATCATAAACGTCAATAGCTGAATGTTGAAAGTAAAGTAAAGCATACTTAGGTCAAGATGTCAAGATCACAGTATTACATATTATCTTGTACGCGCTGTTAATTCACTGGCTACTAGTTAATAAACTGAAGTAACCCATTCAGTTAAACCCTTATTAACTAATGATGAAAGATAGATTAATCAAAGTGCTTAAAAACCAATATAATCGACTGACTGCATTTTAAATAAGTCTGTAAGTATTAATCAAACAAATAAATCTTCAGTTGAAAATTCACCTTCTAATAGAGATACGCTGAAAGAGGAAACGTTGTGAAATTATATTTTTAAATGGGTATGGTTTTACTTTTACGGACAGATGTTAGCACAGATGATGAGAACTTTAAACTTTGCGGCATTCAGGGTAATCCTTTTAATGTTGTTTTCGATGGTCATGAAGCTGGATGAGCACAATGAATAAAAAGATGAATTGCACAAGAAAAAAATAACATGGAGATATGAGGGATCCTAAAGGAATAGCAAATTTTCTGATTTTTTCATTGGTTACATAAAGTGTGTTTTTAAGAAATCCCTCCTTAGGTTTTAGTGTTAACGACTTTTACTGTAAAAGTGAAACCTTAACAATAAAGGAAAGTTAATCTCAATCATTTTAAGTGTTTCATTTACATGGCTAAGTGTCTCAGTGTCAAGTATAAAGCCGATACCAAATTTATCATGTTACCGCTAACATGATCCAACGAGTATTTTACGACCATTTGATATTGCATTTTGCTGCGCTCACCTATCAGTAGTTCAGCCACAGTTTCAGATACAAAACGAAAATTACACTGTAAACTCGAGGACAAGGTAATTGCACATCTATTTTTAGATACCGAAGTGAGCCGAAAGTCTCCCGGCTCACTAACTTGATGATATTTTTCACTCACTAAGCTAATAGTCGACTAATTGGCTTAGTCTTAGTTGGAAATTTATGTTTGGCTAGCTGACTGACTAAAGGCAAAAAGGTGTATTGTTTTTACTTTATGACAAAATTTTATTACTATAAATTGATATTACCAATCATAGTTCAACCAATCATACCAAACAAATTCAGAATTGTCATGATTGCAAAGAATTTTCTTCAATTTTTTAGGAGTGAGCTGTGACCTTTTTTGGTTAGTGTCAAACCAACTATTGAAAACTCTCGAACTTGAGTTCGAAATTCAAATTTCAGTCATTTTAGCGAGCTTTTAGTTGACTCACTAAAGCTGGCTTAGTGGGGAAAAAATTGGCTAAAACTAAAGCCAGGCATAACCGGCTCACTCACTCACTAAGTTCACTAGCTTCAGTATCTATCTATTTTATTATCATATTATTAATATATCTTACCTTTAGAAAAGATAGTTTGAATATCATCTTGAGAGCAAGAAGAAGGAATACAAAGACCAATCTTGAAAATGGCTTCGAAAAAATCTGAAACTATTTTATTCCTGGTAAATATATTTGTAGAGTATTCTGATTCGGATATTTTCGGTAAAATTGATATTGTACAATGTTGACCAAATTCACTTTCCTTTGTTTCATCATTAATCCATTGAAGACCCAAACATCTATCATAATTACCAAAATCATAGTAACCAGTTTCAGTTGAATCAATAATAAATCTAGACGATGAATCAAACACTTTGTAATAAGAATGATAAAAAACAAATAAATGGATTTTAGTAAAAAATATAATTTAAATGCAAACATGTAATTGTAAAGGCGCTTAGATGGTTTCGAGTCAAATTTTGAGTACAATTACAATATCCAATCATTAAAAGACGTCAAAAGATACTTACTTTGAAATGTCCATTGATTATCCTTCTTCATTGAATTAAAAACATTATTTAAACTTTTGATACATGATGATGATACTTTAAGTGGTTCCAGATCATTTGAATTAACAAAATCCCAAAACACATGATTGAATCCAATTTTTAGCAATTTGGCTTGTTTAATATTATATTCACTCGTTTCATTAGTGAACATGTGAATGGGTTGAATGAATCCATTGAATATCAACAGAAGCAACAAATAAGTGAAAAATTGAACAATAAAAATCTTCATCTTGATACAATTATTGTTGATATTTTTATTATTGCTGTAAAGTCACATTCAACGAAAAAAATATTCATCAATATGATTCAGAAATCCGAGATAACGTTCAATTTCTTCAAACGTTTATCGTGAAAAATCTAATAATGAGCAGAGTCAATTTGGTTTCTTCGAACAACTATTCTGGCTCAGCCCACATCTAAATTTAACTCTCTATCTTAAAATGTGTTTCATCTTTCCTCAAACTATCTAGATTTGCCCTTTCTTTTGATTAACCGGTTAATTCAAGCTTTCTACCCTTTTGATGGTCGTAAAAAGTTTATTTTGTATCATTTAAACGTAGCAACTGCAATTGTTATAGTGGCTCAAGGTAGCTCAAGCTGAATATATTAAAAGAAACAGGTTTAGTTTGTTGAGTATTCCAGTCTAAATGATTCGAAATTTTGTTACTCGAATAAGTTACATAGTTTAATGAAATATTGATACTCATTAAACTGGTTTTCTTTGATCATTATTTTATTAATTAACACCCTGTATTTATTTGTAACTTTATCACTAGCAGTGTTATATCATGTCCCGTCAGATATGAATGTATAATAGCTCGACCCATAGCTTTGTTCAATTATTTCAAAGTATCTTACTTTTATGAATGTTAGAATAATCGCGAAAAAACGAATAATGAACAGTGTTAATTAGAATGGACAATTAATTTAGAAATAAGAAAATAAGGCATAATTTTCTTCGAACGATTGCTCTGGCTCAATCCACATAAAAATGCAACCGAAAACGGGTTACAATTCAATTTAACTTTCGTCAAACAATTTGGTCTACCATTGGTCAGATTTTTCAAGAAATTTTTAGCGTCATTTGACAAATCTAAATACCATTCATTAGCAGTAGCTCTAGAAACACCAAATTCACATGATTTTTCAACGATTTCCGCACGAGAGAACTTTTCAGAATTAACTAAATAGAAATTTTTACAGATGCAATGATGAATTAGGTACTTTACTGTACAGGGCATTTCAGCTAATTTTACCGTTTTAAATTGGCTATATCTTTGCTCCTGAGTGAACTTGAGGTGTGATATTTTGATTATGGAAATTTGGGTGATACTTAATTGTCATATTCCAGGGGCAAGCTGATTCAAGGTCATTGCGAAATTTGACCTCTGACGGATATTTCGAGGTCATTTTCAGAGAACGCGAGAATTTTA